GTTCGATGGTCTGGTCTGGAGAGCCTTTTCGGGGAAATGAATGCTGTCGGAGCGGAAAGTTTGGCTTAGCCGCGCGCTTATTTTTGGCCTTTTTTTTTTTTTTTCTTGGCGCTGGTTTTTTGTATATGCGTTGGGTGAATTGGGGTTCGATGTTTTTGTGTATCGTTTATTTCAACTTTTTTGGAGATTGTTAACGGATGTGCAAATTACATGGATTGATCCAGGTATTGAAGATTATCGAGTTGTGTTGGTTGGTGCCTGAAATGCCCTGGCTGCGAGACAGTATACTATTATTACTATATACTACTCCTAGAAATACCCAAGCTAGTATTCACAAACTATGTCATGCTTTTATTTCTGACTATGATTACGATTCCTTCTATCGTCCTTGCAAGCTATTATGTATCTATTCTGTACCTTTTGTGTTGTGTGTAAAGTGCAATATGACTAGCTACCACTATCATATGGGCAAGCGGGTATACTGTTCGCGCTGACATATTTCATTTATTTATATCTTACTAGATTTCAGATATCTTATAGCTTCTTGAGCTATATCTTATATTTACATCTCAATTTAATGATGTGACGGTTGGAAGGTCGCTCTATCGCCTCACCTGTGTGTTTTCCCACAGGCATTACCGCTATGCAAGGCCACAAGAGCCCTAGTTCCAAATGCGCATTTTGTTGCTCTTTGTTCAAAATATCACCCAGTGAGACAATATTGCTATAGTCACTGCAGAGGGGTGCTATTATGATAGGCTGAGGTCATACATTCGCGACCTACTAGTAGTGGTTATAGCACGACACGAATACCTTAATTGGTCTTCTGCAAAATGCTCGCAGGTTCGGTTGGAAGTTCCTTAGTATGGATGGGGTCAGTGCCAGCCTCAGGGCCCAACGTCGCATTATAGGTCTGGCTGGTTGGGGAGTGGTCGGACACGGTATGCCACCCAACATTCTCTATCGATGGGTTGGAATCACCGCGGCTTTGTGATAGACGCTCGAATCCACCGGTGGCTGTATTATCCGACCATGATTCAAACAGAGAATCGGTCCGTTTATCGCTGGTTTTGCGTACGAAAGCGAATCATACACTGAATAACCACCCCAGCAAGCACTCAGGCGAGGAATACTACGGTGGTGGATTCCTAGACCACGGCATGAGCAGACTGACCACTGACACTAGATAGGGACTTAGGGAGACTGCACTATCCTTACCACGAAGGCAGTTTTATGAATGCGGACATCGTGGTCCTGTTGCAATGTTGACAACGGCAGTGTTCAAGAGACACGTGTATCATGATGGAGGATTCCAGAGAAGAGCCGGGCCAATAGAGGGTATTTGAAGAATGACATGCATGCATGGAGGAGGAAGGTTGGGCACATCATCATCCAAGGCAACGAACCTGTGAGTATGTTTACCTCCTTCCAATGTGTTCTGCGGGGGCCGGGGCCAAAAGGTTGAACTAAATCGAATCCCTGCAACCAACTGGGGCAGTGGATTGTTCCATTTGACTCCGAATTGCCTGATCTCCCACATCGATCCCTGCTTATCGTTCCTTTCCTCCTTTTTCCCTCTTAGGGCTGCTTGCCGCTAAACTTCGCCCCAGCCGTGTTTCCTTCTCGCTCGACCTTTGGATCTTATTTGATTTCTCTTTTTGCTTCCATTTCACCAATCTAACTTCCAGTTATCTTTTCTCTCCGCCTGTGTGTCACTGGTATGGCAGCTGCAATCCTCAGTCTGGCCACCACGTACGGGGCCCAAGTGGCCCTGACGGTAGCCCTTATTTTAATCGTGCGATTTTTTCACGAGATGTTCAAAGTACGCCTGCTTTTCTATCGCTTGCGAAAACAAGGCCTGGTATGCCATCCGGACGAGAAGAATCCCTGACGATGGACGGACGGACTGGCTGACAGTAGCTCGCGCAGCCAATGCCCCAGTGGGATTTCGCAGCAGGAAATTTGCGGATGCTCCCCGATTTAATGAAGCGACATCCCAAAGGGTCCCAACAGTCGGAAGCATTTACGTTGCTATCCTACGAGTTCCCCAACAACGATAATTGCTTTTATATTGATGTTTGGCCCTTTACCAAACCGTTACTGGTGGTCACTTCGCCGGATCTAGCCGTGCAGGCCTCTCAAACCTATGCGTTGCCAAAGCCGCCGGTCCTGGCTGAGTTTTTTAATCCTTTTACCGGGGGTCCCAGTATCTTCGTGACCAATGGCCCCGAATGGAAGCACGCCCGCGGACTGTTCAATCCTGCATTTAGTGCCAGTAATATTCTTGAACATACTCCCTATATTGTCGAAGAAGCCGAGGTGTACGTGGAGATCCTTCGCGAGCATGCGCGCAAGGGAGATATGTTTACGCTCGATAAAATGACCTGTGACTATGTTATGGACATTATTGGATACGTTGCCATGTGGGTTTCCTTGGACCACCTGAGGATAGAAGAATCCAAACTAATATAGTCACTAACAGGAAAGCACATCTTCATTCTCAGCGCAGACACAATGCGGTAGCAGCAGCGATGAGAAGTTCGGTCGAGTGGCATTGCCAGGACGAGCAGATGAATCCCTTTATTCGATGGAATCCCATGCGACCACTTATGCAGTGGTACAATGGACGGACGATGAACCGTTACATTGGGATTGAACTGGACAAGCGATACGAAGTATGGAGACAACAATCTTCCACACGGGCCAATTCTATCATTGATATCGTGCTTGCTGAATTTATGAGTACTCGCACAGCCGGTGATGAACTAGACCCTGAGTTTAAGAAGTGGGCGACGATTCAAATCCGGACCTTTCTATTTGCTGGTCACGATTCCACGGCTGCTACAATTGTGTATAGCATCTATCTCTTGTCCAAACATCCTGAGAGACTGGCAAAGGTTCGCAGCGAGCATGACGAGATGTTCGGGTCGGATATTACAACTGCGGCAGATAAACTGAAGCAGCACCCAGAGTTAATCAACCGACTCCCATATACACTCGCGGTGATCAAGGAAACGCTGCGTCTCTTTCCCGCTGCCTCTGCGCTACGAGAGGGTCAGCCGGGGGTCTATCTACAGGATAAAAATGGTACCAAGTACCCGACAGATGGCCTATGTATCTGGATTCTCCATACCGGTCTTCAACGGAATCCAAATTACTGGCCGGATCCACACGCTTTCAAACCAGAGCGCTGGCTAGTCGGACCAGAGGATCCATTGTATCCTCCGAAGGGAGCCTGGCGTCCCTTTGAACATGGTCCGCGAGACTGCATCGGTCAACCGCTGGCTCTCCTGGACATCAAGATTACCCTAGTTCTCACTCTCCGGGAGTTCGACTTCCAAGACCAGTACGCCGAATGGGACCGCCTGCATCCCCGGCCGGGGCCCAAGACCGTCTTTGGCGAACGCGCCTACCAAATTCCACTGGGAGGCTCCCACCCAGCCGACGGTCTTCCGTGCCGGGTCAGCTTTCGAAAGCAGACCAGCCAGTGAGAGTTGAGCTTAAAATCGGCGCTCAGGCGAGGGACGAGGACACGATGAGGGGGAAAATGGCCGGGGTTCAGTGGGGGCAGTGAAACCCAGGTCAGATAGTCATACTAGGGAGAAATGGATGAAATTCAAACTTCTGAAAGGGTGATGTGATTCAAAACCATATGGTGTTTGAAAACCCTCATATCCCTGCTCCTATTACAACTATGAATCTGAGGACCTGAGAAATCGACGCCGAAAATGACAGCCTCTGGCGCCAGAAACGGCTGCCTTTCCACCCAGTTAGGGTTGAGGATAACTCTTATACTCCCACGATTTCATTCCCGGAAAAGGTATCCGTCATATTTCTGACTGCTTTCTATAATAACCAATGTAATTTACAATACAATTGGAGAAACACGAGGAATGTATTTTACACTGAAACTTCTCTACGCACTCTAGTTCTCTGTCACTCAACTTTCTGGCACTTCATCATGATTCATATAGAATGTAAGATACGGTAATTCTAGGTAACGCGAAAGGAGGTGCAATCTAGATGCCCTCTCTCCAAGGAGATGCGCTTCTTCCAGACTGTTGCGCCAACAAGTGTCATGAATACAGACAGTATCGGCCAATATTCGCGAGGTTTCCCTATAGAGAACCGTCTCTGCGTTATGGACACCATTGCCACTCTTGCTGTGTTTATAATTAGAACCCCCAATAAAATCAAAACCAAAATTTTAAAAAATTACTTACTCCGCCAGCAAGTTCGCATGTGGCTTGAGGCCAGTTAGGAAAGCAATCACCCGTATCAGCTCGAAGACATCCCTGACTGCACGTCGCACATGTAGCTTGTGCTTGTTGCTCAATGGGGCTGGCAGCGGCGAAGCTGGTAAGGGAAAGAACACAAACTATGGCGAGGAACTTCATCGTGGACGATCAAGGAGACGTGTAGGAGAGATGAGCTGATTTCGAGAAGGCAGAGAAAAGAAGATGCGAAGGTAATGGTGGAAAAGATAAGTCGATGACCACTTAAATAGTGGCGAAGTTTGCCTTTTAAAAGTTGAGGGGGACTGAAGTATCCTATCTTATTTATTTATGCAGACTTTCCGTCGCAGGAACCCCTAGCATTGTGTCTAGCTTGGCATTCACTGAGGCCGAATCGATCCTGCATACGGAGGAAGAAACCCGTGAACTATCGATTGATCGACAGGCCGATCAATCGTCGGCTGATCGATTCCCAGGAATGCACAGTCGCCCCCTAGAATTCTTCGGTTCATCACCCTCGACCGTGGTGGATCTGTTGTAGGAGATGAATTTTACGAGACGACTCTGCGTCTGTCCTGTCGGCTAGCTTTGGGAAGACTTATTTAAAGGTAGAATAGACCGTCCACGTTAGTTTTGTGGGATGAGCCATGTTGAATTCGAGAAGTGGGAACGAATACACGAATAAGACGCGCCGCAGATAACAACAAGATCCACGGAGAGAAAGTAAATATTTTCTTTTCCAGGATTAGCTCTATACACCTTAAAAGCATAGCGTTCTGTGTGATGACTGGCGGGCGTTCAACGTTACATGAAATGCTGTGCTTTCACTCGAGAAGAATGAGGGGAAAATTGACAAGATTAAAGCTTCTGCGTGGTTCTAAACAATATTACAGTATTATCACGATGACTGATGTTTCTTGTAAGGCCTGGTGAGATCTGGGAAGCATCGCAAACCAAAGTAAAACCCTAGATACACGATGAACGTCAAATGCCCGCAGATACATCTACAGGACGTTTGCCTCGTCCAGAATCAAAACTAAATAGTCATGAAACTTGTCCAGTAGGACCATTGTTCCCATCAAGGAGCCCGCCAATTGGTCAATTTGTTCCGAGAAGGGATTTGTATAGGTCATATGGGTAGTGAAATTGAGTCAGAAACGTCGCACGTTCGAAGAATCACACTCATGTGAATGCTATGCTAATGTCGGGTTGACGGATATTGCCCGATCAAGAGAATGATAAAAGGATAGGAGGGTTATGCGATGGTAGAGAAGAAAAAGAATAATTTCATGTTGATGGCCAGACAACCGATGTTCAACCAGTCCCTCTTGGCGCAGGATGAACCTTTCTGCCTGGTGGTAGGATGATGTCAGGACAAGGTCCTGCAGACGGAGAACAGAAGCTGAAAGGTACAGCTGACTAGCGAGATAGGCCAGCAAAGCGTGGGTTAAAAAGGGATCGATGCTTGAAACCCGTCCTGGGCCGAATACCGAGGCGTAGCCGTTCCTTGAGGCAGCAATGAGGGCGGTAAAGCACGACCAGGAGATTGTGATCTTTGCGCAGTCTTCCTTGAGCCAATAGCAAGTGCAGACGGTATATACGAGGCTCTAGAAGACTGGCAGGAGGACGGAGATTCGTCCTGGGAAAGCGGGAGCCCTTGAGTACTGGATGAGGCTTTCAAGTTTGAGTCCGACCCTGAGCTCGACGGCGGAGTGGGCTCTATATTGGATTGTATACTCTGAGGTCGGCTGTTGCTTTTCGGGACGTAGGGCTGATGTTGGACCTGGAGGGCCTGGTTCAGTTGCTCGTCTGTCCATCCACGGCCGATGTGCACTTCATAATGCCCGTGTTTCTGGCCCAGAATAGATGTCCGACACCACAGATCGGCATCCTCTGATTTGGCGAAGCCAATGACAAGCCCTTTGCTACTGTCGCGCAGGTAGACCATGGACGGCGCTAGCGGGAGGTAAACGGCGCTGGGCTCGTTGGCGAAGATGCGGGATTCTCGATTGCGGTTTTGGTAGGATGCTGCTTGGTTGGGCGAATTGAAGCTGAGCTTGAGCTCTTGTTTCTGGAAGTAGAAGAAGACATCAAGAGCAGGCTGTGGATGAGACATCGTGAGCTTCAAATGAACGATGGAAAGGGTCGGTGATCTACTATCAGCTCTTTACCTTGGGGGGAGGGAACAGAATTTAAAGGAGCTAGCATCATCTGAAGCTTCGCTCAGCCTCTTAGCTACGAACTAGTTCCTTTAGCGGTTCCACTTATAGGGCGCACAAGTCTCACTTTGGGCACAGTGATTACTGGGGGCCGGATTGTCTGTTGTCTGTCCCGTCAATCAAAACACTCAGAGTGATCATGGTTTAGGGCTTGGCAAGTCAGCAGCACTGCCTCGTTGCCCCGTATTTCTGTCTCACAGCTGACAAGAGATTCAGCTTGTGGATATGTTAAAAATAAAATGAACTAGAAGTTGCCTTGCTCAAATAGTTAAGGAGTATAAATAAATACAAGAACCAAAATCAAGCTTAAACTCTGCTATTTTTCTTTTGTGGGCATGGAAAGACTTGGATGTCATCCGTTGCTGCCTCGGAGAAGACCAACCCGGCATAATTGAAAGGGACGACTTGAAAGGAAACTAGAAAGCTGAGAGGCTGCAATCTCTGGCCCAGGTACTTTGATCAGCTGTAAAGGCTGTTCGGTATGGGTTGTCCTACATTTCCCGACGTATTTCGGGCATAAAACATTCACAATGACTATATATTGAACCACCTGGGGCGAGGTAGTTCTCTGTCCATCCATTAGCCTTTGTTGTCGTCCCGAAGTTCTACCATTGCTACGCTACCAGGGAATACTTTGTGCGAATTGAGCTTGCAGTAGGGAGATCTGGGTCGTTGCAACTGGAAGCGCCCCTCCATGTTGATAACTCGCTTGATTCCCCTGCAACTATAACCATCCATCTGTCTTAACCCCGTAGTCCCTGCTGGAATTTGCTCCTTGCTCGAAGTCGATCCCCATACCGAATAAAAACAAACGGAATCAAAGTCATCAGAAGGCTCAAAAACCCTAGAAGACTACACCCCCAAGCGATTCCCAATTGACGAAACATAGGAGTGGACGCAAGTGGCAAAACGGCGCCAAAAACACTGCGGCAACAGCTGGCTGCTGCCATAGCGCTGGCGGCGTATTCGTGATACGCGTCAACCAGATAATTGATGAGGGCGACAAAAATGAGGAAAAAGGCCATCCCAAACGGTATCCCAGCCAGCATGGGCACAATCCAGTGAGTCCCGGCAGAGGCAGTCCAGCCCAGCCAGAACAAGGCCAACACATATAAAGGACCCCCAAGACACGCCAGGGGAAGTCGTTGGTATTCCTCGATGGTGGACCAGCTGGCCTTTCTCGCCTTTGCCCTCTGGAGTATCGCGTCGTACCACAAGAAAAGCGCCATCCCGATGCAAGCTCCAACAGCGACTAGAAGAAATGTTAGCTAGGCCAGGAAAGGATGATGATTCTGGGCGATAAGTGCATCTTACTCGGAATGAATGCTAAGCCGGCGATTCCATCGCTCATGCCATAAATGCCTTGGAATATCAGGGGATATGCCTCGAAGTACATGACTTGGATCGTCAATTCCATGTCGTTGTGATCGGGAACAAGATCACTTACAGAAGATTGCACTGGCATAGGATAGGTAGAGACATGTGAACGAAATAATTGGTTCACAGAATAGCATGTACAGAGGTCGAGAGAGGGCCTTCAGGACGAATCCATCTCCTTGTTTCTCCGTCTTCTGCTTCGCAAGGGCGGACTGGGACGTCTCTGGAAGGAACAGAACGGGAACAAGACTGACACCGGCGATGATCAGGGATATCCAGAAGATCCATCGCCACCCCACCGGTCCAATGAACCCTGCTACAAGGGGAGCGAACTGAGGCCCGGCGGTCGTCACCATCATTGCCAGAGCCATGGTCCGCCCACGAGCCAGAGGAGAGCGATAAACGTCAGCGAAAAGGCCCCCCGTGACTGCAATCGGGCTCGATGCGCAAATTCCACAGATAGTTCGGAAGATGATCAAGGCAGTCCAGTTCGGAGCAATGGCACAGGCTAAAGTGAAGATGGTGAATAGGACGTAGGTTCCCACCAGCACGATACGTCGGCCATGAAGTTCACTCAAGGGCGCAAAAGCAAGAGGTCCGGTCACATAACCGAGAAGATAGACCGAAGTGGGTAGAACCAGCTGCGTTTCGTTCTGGACATGGAGACTGTCTGCGATGAAGCGAATCCCACCGCTGGGAATCGTTGAGTCGAATACGCTGTTGAACAGCATGAGAAGGCCAGTGATCACCACGAATATCTTTCTATGCTATTTATCGAGGTTAGGCTGTTCTACTCATTTCTTAATGAGTTTTTCCGACTTACAGATTGCCATTGAGCTGGATCTAACGCACATTGTGGAGACCCCATTTTCTGGGACTCTGTTTCCTCATCCTTGTCTTTTTTCGTTGTCGCGACGCCCATCATCTCTCAATACTATACCACAATACTTTTTCGAGGCGTGTACCGTAGGCGTACATCTTCCATTTCGATCAATTTATCCTTGGATGTGTCGCCAACAGTTACCATGTAATTCCTGCCGACGAGGAAGCCGAGCTACTCATACCGAGATACAAGATGCAACTCATAGCGAGATGGGCCATCTAATTTAGTGCGGCCGGGATTCCAATCCCATCATTGGAGGGCACATTATTAGTGAAATTTGAGCAAGATCAGCTTGACTAAAATCAGACTAGAACCATCCTAGCCTTTATTAGCCTGAATGTTGAATGGCTCGGCTTACGCCAAGGATCTCGAACACGGCTCTAGAGCAACTCTCCACCTTCGCTCGCGACGACATGCCCTCTTCATATATATTCGCAGCTAGGCGAGCATGGAAACTACTAGAAATGTTGCACGTACCCGAAAGCGACGGAGGGAATTTACGGTCAGTGAGATGAGCACGGCCATGACAGAGCTGCCCTAATATCCGGAACAGGGCTGTTGGCGCTGTCGTGCGCGGAAGGTCAAATGTGATGAGGGGTCCCCTTGTTCAGCATGCACGCGACTGGGCCTCGAGTGCGATGGCTCCAGTATGCGTCTGGTCTGGCTTAACGGCAATGAGTCCTATCGGTCCACCGGACGGCGATACATGCACTGCGGTATGCCGTTTCTTGGATGTCCCGAAGAGTCGACTGACAGGGACATGTAGAGCGCACCTGGGCGAACTATGCTGCTCTCGATTCTCATGTAGTTGATTTCCTGATCGCGCAATTGGACGATGACGAGACAAACGAAGCCTCAGAGCCTCTGAAGATAGATCATAATCCCTTCTCTGTCTTCCCTGCTGTAACCCCAGTGTCGTTAGTGTCCCATATGAACCAGGGCCTCGTTTGCAACAGCACGAAGATGTCAAGTAGTGGGGAGAAGATGCTTTTTCACCACTACGTCAACTACGTCGCATCTATCATGATGCCGTTTGAGCATCCCTGGAATCCCTGGAAACGGCACTACCCCGTCGTCTCGCTGCAGTACTCTGAATCCGGGGAGAAAGCACTGTACCACGCCATTCTGGCCCATGCAGCATTCAATTTTGCCAATTTAGGGCACGACAGACAGAAGATGATGCAGCTGGCCGCGTCGAACTATAACGCATCGATTCAATACGTGAATGACTCTATCCAAGCATCTGGCAGAGACTTTGATAGCACTCTGGCAGCAATTATGACTCTGATGATGGCAGAGGTAAGACGTAACATCGCTCTTTTTTTTTTTTTTTTTTTTTTTTTTTTTTTTTTTTTTTTTTTTTTTTTTTTTTTTTTTTTTTTTTCCTAAGAATGCTTACGCTACTCCAGGTCTACAGCGGTAATTCCAGCAAATGGAAGAATCACCTCCAGGGCGCATGGGCATTCCTTCTCGGATCCAATTGCAAAGAGCCATGGAACGAATCCGAATTCGTCTGCTTTTCAACCCAGAGCTTATTGATCGTCAAGATCATCGGAGCCACCTGCATGACAGATAGCCAAACCCCAACATTGATGCTACCCCCAAGCAATGAATCCACATCTATCACAGTAGCCAGGCATATGGAAGCAGGTCGGGCAGTATCTTCCTCCTCTCTACATTCAGATCTAGCATTCGCCGCCTTGATCTCCTCAACTCCTCAGTTTGGATTCACGATCGGCGCCCAGCGACTTATTTTGGAGTGTATTTCCACCATCACGACCGTCAGCCAACAGATGCGATCAGACGCCTCCCCCAGAGCACACATTACGGCTGACCGGACTGTCTCCCAGGTGTTAGCCTGTCTGGATTTCCTCCAGGCAGGGATCCTCGATAGCTCTGGTGGGCTGGAACCGAGTTCCGAAGTCAATGCACCGGCTCCTAAAGTGAAATTCGAGGAATTAGCACGATACCAGCTCAACGCCTTCATCTACGCAACGTATATTTATCTCTACCGAGCGCTATTGGATGTGCCGCCCAAGCGCGTCGCAGCGTACGTGTCCCTGATATTCGATAACATTACCGCCTTTTCCGCGCAGAGCAGTGGGAACTTCTCCCTGTGGCCGGCGTTTATCGCGGCGGTCGAGGCCTACACGGTGCGGGATCTGGAGTCATCGTGCCGGTGGCTGGAGCAATCGACACATTTTGGACTCGGCAACCGACTCGCAGTCAGGTCGATCGTCGAGGAGGTGTGGCAGAGACGCGATGCCTTGTGTGTAGAAAGCGGGATAGATCCAGGGCTGGCGGCGGTGGATTGGAGAGATGTGGCTAGAGACCTCGGGGTAGATGTTCTGTTGGTTTGATCTTGAAGCCTTGAGAGAATAACACTATCTAATTTATCTCGGCGCCGAATATTGCCTCTCTAGATGGCATACGTCTTGCGGGCTGGTGTTAAATTGCTGGGAGGCGGCTACGGATATGGTATCTGCAAGGCGAGGAACTTGGTTCAATGAATGATGTCTGGTAAGGCTCAGATCCGAAATTAAATGAATCTATATTGGATTACAATACTATATAAATGACAACTTAGGGCAAATTAGTACATACGACCATAGGGTGTGGAGAACAGGGCTTCCCGTCCGCTCAGCCGTACTTAAGCCACACGCCGGGAGGTTAGTAGTTGGGTGGGTGACCACCAGCGAATCCCTCCTGTTGTATGTTTTTTCTTTTTTATATCCTCTATAATGTGTAGATACAGATAGACCTTGAAGGCTTTTGAATGGTTGGTCAATTCATCTGGAGTAGTAGTTGTTAGATCCTTTTTCGATCGACAGATGTATGTATGTACATTACTCCGTAGACGAGACGAATATCCCACCATGGTCGTCGCTTGCGTAGCACACCAGGCGATGCAGGTACGCTTCGGCCTGGTCATCCTAGAGGTGTCGAGGTGATAGGTGGCCGTGGAGGCGGGCGATCTTGAAACCATTTTCCGTCATTTGTAGCTCTCTTGACTGGTCCCTTGGGTTGAGAATGGGCAAGAACATAGACGAGATTCACGAGCCAGTTCCTGACTACGGGGAGAAGTTGCAATTCTCTATGAATAGGTAGGCAACAGGGAGGCTTTTGATTACGCTGTTATCACTAACCAACATTCCAGATTCTTTGCAAAGATGCCCACAGATAGACCCATCCAACGCGGATCATGGGAGATCGAGATTGATCAACCAATCCACATACCCTCTGGAGATCCTATCGCCCTTCGTCATGAAACGCAGAACCCAGATATTGCTCTAGACCGATACCACCTGCGCGTTGACTGGCAGACTCGAGTCTCCGGCGACTCCCGGTATCCGGTGCTGTGGTGTTCAACTTTAAGGTGTTGTTCACTCCGGTGACCCAATTCCGCAATGAACCATACATACCTTCCCTCTTTTTGAAGAACTAGAGAGAGGCTACGCCATGTCTGCTGAGACACGAGAATACATGGCATACAGAAGCAACTGTACTACCTGCATTGGAGCTCTGGGAGAGGGAGCAGAACGAGCAAGGCATCATTCCCAGAGATTGGCAACCTGCGACCTTGGACGACTACCCTTACTACCCTGGATGGTAAGAGCGTCGGAAGGCAACTCAGAGCGTCTAGAGAGACCACTATACCCCCGTGGCCACCACTTTTCAAGAGCATGCCAGCATACTGGTTTGCAAATCCATTCCCTGCTTATGCCTATCTGTTGTTGATGTCTATTTCGCCTTTTTCGTTGCTGTCTTCGCATTTGCTTTCTATTATTCAAAGTCACACAAGCATGTCAAAACTCAAGACTACCTTGGCTACTATATACATGGAAACCAGCATTCATGAATATATTTTAAGCAGTCGAAGCTTATCTCGAGGTGCTCATTTTATTGCACTAATCCGGAATAGCGCCCCCAAACCCTAATGCCGATGCGGGGAAAGACCCATCAAACTGATAACGATGTTGATCATTGAAGAACCAGAACAGCCACCATAGAGCGACAAACCCATACTGTCGTTCTCTATAGCCTTTCACCAGTAATAATTACCAATGTCCATTCGAGTCTCTATATCCCTACCCTCAGAAATGCCTGTCTTCGATGCCTCCCCTCTAACGGCCGGAACCCAGCGCCCAAAGAAAAAGCCACGGAGAGTAAAGGGTAATATCTTCCTCCAGGCGAAAATTGCAATTGATTAAGACCCTCTACAGGCTGTTACAATTGCTCCCAGCGCCGTCTGAACTGTGACCGTGGCACTCCGTGCCAGAAATGCGTCAAAAAGGGGCTCCAGTGTTCCGGTCTCGGGGTACGGTATCGGTTCATAGATGGAGTTGCATCGAGGGGGAAGCTAGCAGGGAGGTCGATGCCTGTGCCAAATACAAAGTGGGAACTACAATATTGTCCCTCTTCCTCGGGCATGGTTAATTCTCTCATCCAGCAGTTCTGGCGCATCCCTTCAGCCACTGGATCGCCCAACAGTACCCCAAATATCTAGCAAGTCTACCGGTTGCAATGATACCAGCTCTCCGAGGGAAGAGGGTCATAGGCACAAACATTCACCTCGCTTGCGAATGCTGGAGGATGACATATTATCGCATAAGTTGAACGATTCATCCTTTGAGCCTGGCCCGTCTCATGGCTTGGATCATATTGACCACCAGTCTCGACTCCTACTGAAATACTGTCAGTACCTTTCTTGATGGATCATTTGCGGATAGATTCTAAGTAATACTATAACAGTCTCGGAGAAAGTTGCGCCAGCAATGGGTCCCTTCAACACCGTCTTCAACGGCTATCGAGATCTGATTTTACCTTTGTCAGAGCAAGACCATACCGTCAAAAGCGCGGTGTTAGCCGCCGCCGCTTCCCATATCTCTTTAAAACATTGTGAATGGAAGTCACTAGCTTCCAGGTATCGGATGGCAGCTATCCGAGGATTAAATCAGCGGAGCACCGCCGAGGACCTGAACAAGTCCATCGATTACTCGAGTCTGTCAACTATGGTCCTTCTCCTTGTAGAGCAGATGATCATAGTGGGAACCGACTTTCATATCCTCCTTCGGATGATGAAGAGTTTCATAGAATCCCAGCGGTGCTTAGACATAGCCGAGACGGAACCTCTAGGAACATTCCTGATGCAGCAGATAAGAAAGTACACACAGCCTTTCCTATAGTCCTCTTGGACCTTATGCTTACAGCTATAACCTAGGATGTACCTATACGCAGGACCATTAGTAATGGGCCTTTCGGCGGCTAAAAGTCTCGAAAACATGTCTAACAAAGACCTGGACTTCTTGTTCAGCTGCCTTAAGATCCATCCGGAGTATTCTTCCGTCATTTTCAAACTAGCCAATCTCATCCGTACGGCAGCTCAAATATACTTGAGTCGGGCAACCAACACACCAAACCAGGTGATCACGGAACTGGTTCAGCAGTTCCTCGCAGACACCGCTGCTTACAACGCAACTTCACCGGGGGGTCATATTCTGATTTGGCCTTTTTTCATCGTCGGAGCTGAGTGCTCGTCCGAGCAAGACCGGCAGTTTGTCACCATGCAGCTACAGAGTCTCGGGGATTGCACGGGCTTTGGAAGCCCGCTTTATGCGATCAAACTGCTGCAAGATATATGGCAGGAAGCCCCAGGGACGAATTGGACGCAGACCTTGGTGGATAAGGTAGAAGGTTTCATTATGTGATTAGGGCACGCTCCTGAGATATTGTTGTACTGAAAGCACTTAATCTACAGTTTTTGACCTCGGAGATCATGAATGTTTCAGAACGCCTCTTTGCTGAGTACCATACTTTGCACACATTATGGTCATTCAGGGCCTCTCTAGAGACGTAACTGGAAGCTAAGCTGGGTTTAGAGCACTTCATATTTAGCTTCGGAGATAGGCTTTTGCAGATTCTCCCCAAACGGCAGCCCGTTTATAGAAATGAAAGCCAGGCGCGTTTCCCTGCTTCAAGCCGTCAATTGCCTCGGCAAGAACGTCGCCGAGCCCTTCTTCCTTGATTTCCGGGAGTGTGTAGAGAAGGGTTTTGAATGAGAAAAGTATCGCACGGCTTTGAGGTAAGCGGTGCAGAAATTGTCTCTCGACACGGACACGAGCCTGGTGGTCTGTTAGCCCACATTTGACACAGATATATCTATGAAACGTACAGTATCTATATTAACCTCTTCTTGAAGGATCTCTTCACCCTCGTAAAGGTGGTTCCCAGACGCCGCGAACAGTTGGTCTGTAGTCGTGATGGTCCACTGGAGAACAATCAGACGCCAATCTTCAAAGTCAAATAACAAAGTACAGGTACAGGTCAACTCACATTGGCGCGTTTGATAAACCTGCCTACCCCGAGTCTTTGGAAAAAGCGATCCATGCTCTTCTCCAGCTTTTCTTTGTACTGGGGGACAGGCTTGTGTATGTCCCGGAGTTTAAGGCCCAACTTCTTCGAAGTGTTGAAGCCATTCGGGAAGCATGTCACGAATCCTCTGAGCGTAAAGCCGTCTCCATCATCAGATGGCATCAGGAAAAGGAGGTCATCCTCAACCAGACCGCCCATGATCCGCAAGATATCCAAGGGATTCTGTTCGGGGGAAAGGGAGAATATCTCGTCGGTGACCAGGCTGTGCAAGGATGCCTGCTTCTCCCCAGCAGACGGCCGCAGCTGAAACATACGAGGGTATCGTGTTGGCAGATACGCTCCCACCAACCAGGTGTAGAATTCATCGACCGCGGGCTTGACACAATCCTCAGCGGCCAGAACCGTCTCAGGATGCTCGGCCATAATCCTCTTGCGAAGTTGTATACGATCGAGATAGTTCTTGTCTATTTCGATAAGCTCGCTGACGGTCCCTTCTTGGATGCCTGGGTTTGAGATAGGTCAGCACTGTTAGATTCACGGCGTGCTTATTACATACTCATGGTTAAATGGTATTTGGGCTTGAATGGCCGGATCCTGATCGGCTCCTTCGTCTTCCAGTCAAAGTCTGGGAGAGGCTCGACCGGTGGGTAGCAGTTTGGCTCGACCCCATCTTGGTCGTCATTTGCGACACTCCTGGTGAATTTATTATTCTTCTGTCGCGTGGCTAGGAAGAATAAGCAGCTAGAGATGAAACTGAAGTAGAAGCATGTGGACCATCCCGGCCACTGTACAGGGAGACTTTGGTTGAACATTGCGAATAGTCAGATCTCAGATTGACGGCGAGAATAGTATGCTGCTGAGGAGAGTGGGTATATATATATCTTCAGGACCAAGGTAAAAAAAAGACAATTCGATGCCATAATGTGCCATCACATTTCCCTTAAATACGGCAATCGTGCTCAATCCCCCCCACCATTATCGTACATCACATCTAGTGCTCATCCAACCTGCCTATTCAGGCATTCCGTCTTTATCATACATGAGTCGCAGATAAAGATAAGATGCGGGGGACGGCCTTGACCCCACATCACCTGGCCTGCAACTGCCCATTTATTAACTCTGCTTGTATGGGATAAGGTGGACTTCTGGAGCATTGATGCAATCGAGAATTACTGGATGCTCGATCGAATACCTTATCTGGGAAATTTTGGAAGCTGCATCTCCTACCGCCGTCTTTGGGCTACGACCGGAAAAGCAATCCGGCTGCTGGAAGCGTAGGAGAAACCATCTTCACTGCATTTATGGTGCTACACGCCATATTGTATACAGTATACGGTTTAGTTTCCGACAGTTCGGTGCTGTAATGGTATAATGGGGTGCTCATGGCGACCAAGTTGGACCAGCCAAATGGAAGTGTTGTCGTCCGCAACGTAGGGTATACTATATTTGGACTTCATAGGACATGCTTATATATTCGACATCTGTGATACCAGATCATGAATGAACCCCACTTGAATGGATAATGCAAAGGATCCTGAGAGACTATCTTGGTTTGCGGCCCAAGTCATGCAGTATTTCCTCCGGATTTTGGTAGGGGTGGGTGATGTGAGTTGGTCAAGAAGGTCTCTCACAAGGGCCACGAGAATTTCCAGACAATCAACACCGGACGGACTCTGTCGAAAGCTGTTCCCTAGTCTCCCCCTCAACAACTCTTCAGTCGGTGCACGAATTCTTGAGCTGAAGCGGGGGATCATACAGAAAATACGATATTGCTTCAATGCTTCTTCACATGACACGGAAGCGATGCCAGCAATAGTCAACGCTCTTGTGCAGTTGGTCTAGGTCGACCACAGTGTGCCACAAAGCAAGCGGGGGCTATTTAGAATGTAGGAGAGAAAGAAGTAAGAGACATACATACAATACAATACAATACACCTTGTGTTGTTTGTTTTGTTTATTGGTTGGATAGCTCGAGGGAGGAGAGGGAGAGAGCACAAAAAGTCAGAAAAAGAAACGAAAGAGAAACAAAAAAGCATCGACACCTGTGAGATTCGAACTCACGCCCCCGAAGGGAATGCCTACACTAATCCAAATACGGTATAGCAGGGCATCGCGTTAACCACTCCGCCAAAGTGCCTTATTGGTTGGTCTGTGGACCAATGGTTTAAAATATATAATGGGGATGAGGAAGCTGATACTATGTAATAGGGGTACATACTGAGAAACCACGTTAGTTGCAACCCCGTTATCTGCAATACCCCATTAGTTGCAAGCACCACAGCGGCCACATTCAATTTCCCATACAAATTTGCAGAAATCCCAATAACCTGGGACTTGCAAGCATAGTTTCAGCTCCCCGTATAAATTTGCAAGTAAATGGGGTATTAAAACTTTATTTCAATATTATTTTTCTATATTTAGGCCAAGGCACGTAACTATAGAGAGGTAATCTTTCCTAAAATAGTAAGCCCAAAAAGTAAGCGAAGGCGGTAAAGGAATTGGCCAATAGAAGTATCCCTCGTTAATTGCAATACCCCGTTCATTGCAAGCCGAATTCCTAGCAGCTCAAGACGAGCGCAGAAATGTGGTCACGTGGCGTCGGTTTTCAGCGTCCAATCGGAACGTGAGGTCAGGACAAGACGGGAAAAGTTGCTAACTTCAGGTTCTAACTATCAATAAAATAATAGCAGCTCGCGAAGCGCTCTGCAACAACTATTACCAATTTTCTAAAGACTAATTCTACATGCATAGTATCTTCCCGTCACTTCAGGGGGTACCCCTGCTTATTTTATTCGCTCCTCAATCCCCTTCGCGGATATTAGGGGAACCCCCTACGGTCGAGGGCGCCTTTTCTTACAAATACTAGAGGGGGGAGATACTACGGAGTAAATACTATAGAATTAATAGCAATAGTAAGGCTACGGAGTACGGAGTACTGAGCTGCTAAACCACGGTAAGATCGAGATAGGGACGCAGATCGGCATGCTAGACGAAAATGCCAAGAAATCTCTAATAAAATACTCCGGGGTAGAGATTTGGGTTGTGCGGAGTTAGAGGCAATAGCAAGCACAATTCTAACCGCAGTGAGCTGGGGACACAGCTCGGTGTAGTTAAAAAGATTATATGAGGGCATGAGATTCAGGCAAACACGCCCCAACTCTAAAGGTCACATAATTCTGAATTCTGAATATCCAATCTAGAATAACCAGTTATAGCATACCGCCTTGTACAAATTGCCGAGAAATCTTCAACCGCGTTGAGCTTGTTTCTGACCATATCGAGCTGCGGCCCTGGATCCTGCAGGAATGGAACTTTTTTTACTTTATTATATTAGTATGGATACAGTATGTGATTAAAACAGATAATCAAAGATTTCTCAAGATATCCATCGTGCGTACTATTATTACCGATATAATATATACTAGCGGACAGAGGTCTGTAGTTTAGCCAATCATATACCTTCTTCACCATGTAAATTATTACGTGATGTTAGATAGCTCGCCCTGCACAGGAGCATTTCAACTTGCAAGAGATGACTCCGTACAGTAACTCCCAATTGCACACCGCAACAACAATGTTGCCGAACAGCAAAAAACGACACCTGTGAGATTCGAACTCACGCTCCCGAAGGAAATGCCTGGACAAGCTATCCACATGGTAGGTATAGCAGGGCACCGCGTTAGGCCACTCCGCCAAAGTGCCAGGAGTAATTACGTAATTTTTCTTTTAAGATGATTATAATAGTCAAGGCCAGGAATAGTATCAGATAACATACAATTCTACTCCGTACTCTGTACAAAATTGTGAATCGCATGTGCCGTTCTTGGCGCATATTATACCAATAGAAGTAATAGTTACTTCAATTCCGCTGGCTTAGCTGCCTAACCGCTTCCCTCTTCAAGTCGAAGTTCCTGGACAGAGTCAAGACTCATGCGAGAAGCGAGATAGGGTCAGAGGTGGTAACCCCTCATATATATATTCACTGATGTAGGGGTTTGGTGTGAGCATTGAGAAATTAGAGTACTTTCCTAGCCTGCCTGTCCTTGTAATAATTGGCAGCTCTTATATGTATATCTATAACCACTCTGGGTGTCTACAGGTCACGAGATGTCAACTCTGTTCAAGCGCATTGGCGTTTCTTTTAACATCGAGCTCCTAGGACGAAGGAGATAAAGGGTCGGGAATCTCTGTTTGAGTTACGATACCAGAGCGTACGTATTGTCTGGTGTGGAAATTTTTAAGTGTTTTCCAAGAAGTAGGCTAGCGCTATGCAGGCTTTTCAATGAAAATTGTTTTAATAAAAATGTAAGAAGTTCAAGTCGAAGAGAGTTTTAACCATAACCATTGCAAGATAATGGCATGCTTACTAGTCCTGGTAGGTGCGGCAGGTAACATATGTGCTATAAGCAAAAGTAGTTTTGGAGGAACCCGATGAGCACTGGTTCCTCTATACATTATCAATAGCATAATTCAACTAGTAAGGCACTATGGCGGAGTGGTTAACGCGATGCCCTGCTATACCGTATTTGGATTAGCGTAGGCATTCCCTTCGGGGGCGTGAGTTCGAATCTCACTGGTGTCGCTTTTTTTGGATGATGTAGTGCGAAGTGGTCAGGATCTTGAGAAACAGTCAGACCCCGGAGTACTCCGTACACTCTTCTGACTGGGTTAGAATTTACACAACTTTGACCCAGCCAGAGAGAGCTTTTCTATTTTATCTCAATACTAACTATATATATATATATATATATTTAAAAACAAAAAAACAATTTAAAAAATATTAATCTACTCCGGTAATATTTTTTATATATTTTTTAGAATTTTTATACCTATATTATACTGAGTTTAAATGTTTCTAAACAATCACGTGGATAAGATCTGACTGATTCAGGGTTTTAAAGATCATGTGAATAGCTCTGAGAGTCAGAGCTGCCTGTCTTACCCCACCCTGACCCCTTCGCACTAAATCCTGCGGCAGTCGGAGCTGACACCCCAAATCTACTCCGTATTAGTATAACTAACAATCTCCTGGCATTATGCTGTGCTGTATTCTATCTACACTAGGCCCGTAATTTCCCCTCTACAGCTCTGTGACTTTGTCTATCCGTAATTCTCTCTTCTACAGAGTACAGCTCTACCTCCGGGCTTCATTTATATCTGATCTGCCTGACCTGCTTAAGCTACTTACTACTGCTCTATCTATAAAATCTATAGAAATGATATCAATCTTTTACTTCTACCTATATCAACTATTACCAAGTGAACATCAAGCCGTATTCCCTTGTTTTGCTCGGCGGCTTGCATATATATATAGCTTGGTGACTGTACAGTATACTGTTACGCCCGGGGCTTCGTCAAGTCCTAAACCAGTAAGCTAACCGCATGTACTATGACCTACCTGCAGTCGCTCTTTGACTGCCGCTGACAATGTGTTGCGGTCTTATCAGGACGAAGATCGTAACGGGACTTCCGTTGATACGGGGCTGATGTCGTAACTAGGATGTGCTCGTTACAGGACTGCCGTCGAAGTTGGGTCGTCGTCGGGACTAGATTTGAGGTCAAAGGGCCAGACCTATCGAGTACGTATACCTAGTAGTCAAAAGAGTGCAAACGAGTTGAGGCTAGTTTTACCAAAGGTAACTCTGTAATAACAATTGGGATTGATCACGAAGAACTAAACTAGGTACAGGAATAAGTGTTCTTATATATTTTTGGTCTTTATATACTATCTTGGTCTATGGTATACCATTACTTGGCGCGTATACCATTTCACGTGAGGTTATATAACATAGCTAATATCAGCCACTTATTAATCGTATTATTGTATACCCGCTATAGCCATCCTCATAGCTTTTCTACCTTATGTGTCCGCCTTCGACAAGGTAGTTGCGAGGTCCGTAACATATACATTGTTTGGCCCTTGCATAGACATCTCGGTGGCTTTCGATACCGACGGCCTCCCGGATCTGTTGGTTTTTTCATAGCGAATGGTTGCCCCTATGATTGACTAACGATGAGCTAGGCTTAGGCTATATAAATTAGTATATCTTTGCTAGAGAAGAGAGACAAGAATCAGCCTTCTGTTGCTTATTATCTATTATTCTCTTTACCTTAGTAGTAAGTATCCTTCTAGTTGACCCGTTTAGACACCAATTAGAAGATATTATTTAACATAAAGAGAGGGTAAAGAAAAAAAGATTCAATTTAACTTAAAGGAAAAAAAACATAAAAATAACGACACCAGTGAGATTCGAACTCACGCCCCCGAAGGGAATGCCTACGCTAATCCAAATAAGGTATAGCAGGGCATCGCGTTAACCACTCCGCCATAGTGCCTCTTATGTTGCTCTATTTGATGATATTCTTTACAGACCTGATTTTGAAGGGGTCTGCCTACCTCATCAACACTCCCCACACTCAGTTTTTGCATGTCATGCGTGGCTGTTTTCTGGCCTAGGCATTAGTTTCCAGCTCGGTGATAATAATCTAACTAGTAACTTTAGTTTTACTTTTCTCAAAGCTATGTTACAAGTTCACAATCTTACACAGCCGCGTTGCTATATACTGCAAGATTCACCCCTTCAGGAGTGCGCTTTTCAAGCAGTCACGCCTTCAGCCATCAATACTCCAAAATTCACCACTAAAAGTATGATGGATTCTGGCGAGATACTCCCAAGGACCCCTAAGAAACCCTCAAGGGCATCTAATACGCGGATCATCCTGCCAAGAAAAGGTTGACCTTATGGCGATACTGGTTGCCAGGTCAATATAAGCCCGAGTAATGCCACCCAGGCAGCAGATTCCCAAAACGATATCAAAAATACACAAGCAATATTGCCTGATTACAGCCCACTACCGCAATCCATGTGATATAGGGTCATGCTGTAATAGAGCTGGTGTTTGTTTGTGACACCACTTGTACTGTATCTCTGATGGACCTAGGGCGTCTAGAATGAGACAATAGTAAATACTTAGACCACTCTGGAGATAAGATAGGTGAATCCACAGCTTCGATAGGGGCTAGTCTGCGGACACTGAGTGGCTCTCAGCAAACCAGCGCCTCGACATAACCCTGAATGCAGGCTGATCTCCGGCGAAGCTTTCCCTGCTGTGAGAATAGTCCAGTGTCAGGTGGAA